TGGTTTATTATTAAATCAAACTCTAAAATAGTTTCTGGTGTTTGTAACTGTGTAGCGTAAGTTTGATTTAATATGATTCACCAGGCGATCAGCAGATGCAGTTATCATAAATGGACACACGTTTTTTCCTTCCTTAGTTATTTTAACATCAACTTCGAAACAAAAGCCATCATAAGGATTCTGAACAAAAAGATCAATCGGCAACGAGCGAATTTTCCATCAAATCCGGCTCAATGTTTTCGTTTGCGCTCGTCTCGGGAAGCTGACAGAGTCTTCGTTTTTCAATCGATGTATAACTGCGGTTGAAAGACGGCTATCTCCAATTATTGAACTAAAAAAATACTGGCGCTGGATGGAAAATGCCGTGAACAAACCCAGGAATATAGTTTGGCGTCCACTCAGGTTCCCGACGACGCATTCGAATCCACTGGCGTTGAGTATATTGCTTACAGCAGACGCCGCTCAAATTTCAACCCCACCACGAACGCTGAACGGACTGTCATCCAGGTACTTTGAGAACGACCTCTATCGAATTTCGTGAGAAAAATAGTAACTCGGAAATTAGGAATTAATGTTATTTTCCTATGAATTTGAAGCCCTGATAACTCAAGGAGTTGGTTGCTAAAGCACATTCCTTAAATTATTCAATCAGGATTGAGAGACATGGATTTTCAATGTTGGCAAAAACAAGTCAACAACTGCTAGAAACTGGACCAATATAAAAAATTTAAGCTTATTTTTCTGCAATAAATTCGAATTATGCAGATAATTTATTACATAGAATTGCTCTGACCAGAGTTTGACTGTCTCCACATAATTTAAAAAGGAAATCAGGAAGTCCATTTTGTATAAATAACTTCATTGAGGAAAAATACAATTCTTTCATGTTTCTGACCTTTTGTTAACCTTATATATCCAGTATATCCAATTAGATTATTGTCCACTATACCTAAAACAGCTTAATTTGTTTACCTCGCTTTAAGAAATGAAACACGTTTCTTATGAGTATAATAATTATTTTGTATATAGTGTGCTCCCTCTACTATTGTCTAATGATACCACTATTTTACTTTGGGGTCTATAGTATGAAATAAACATTATGACAGATTTAATGAGCTTGCCAATATTCATGTTTGTAAATCTGAACATACTAGTAGCAATGCACAGTATTCATGTCTGTTAAACTAAACACAGAACAGTATCCATAGAACTGTAGAGCATTACTCAATCACGTAAAATACCTGTATGGTATATGATTTCATACATTTTGTTGCAGGCCAGTTCTGATGAGGAGGTTTCAATATTCAGCAGATCATTAAAGGGAGATCTTGATATGCAAGATGGAGATGGGGTAACATGGGATTCACAAAAAGAACAGAATGACATATGTGATGGTTTTGAGTACATGCAAAGTTGGAATCATCATAATGATGGAGAGGTGAAAGAAAAGATGAAAAGCAAAGGAGTTGGAACTGAACAAATGCATGTAGTAGATGAAGACAAGGATGTGGTTAGCGAGGAGGAGGAAGTGGAGCAGGAAAAAGATTCATGTCAAGATGAAATCATTTTCACCAATAAATCATCACAGGAAGCCAAAATAAAAGAGAATCATTCAAACTCAACGTGGTATTGCACCTACCTGCCATCAGAGGCCCCAAAATTATCTCTGCAGGGATTGGGTAATGTTGATTTAGATGTACTGTTAGAAGAGATTAAACAGGAGAAGGGCAGCTCAGAAACAATAGAGGGAAGCAAAGAATCTACAATGATGTCAACTAATGTTGATAATTTTTCACCTAAAGAAGGTACGTGGTATGATGGCTTTCTTTCTGTTTTGAAATTTTTATTTTTAAGCAGATATTGTGTATTCAAAGCAAAAAATATTATCTGCTCAAATTTAATTAAAAGTGTGCACAGCAAACATAATCTCTTTGTTAAAAATTCACTCTTCCCTCAGAAACGAAAGTGTGATATAAGTGCACCAAACTACTATAGAATTATGCACTGTATTTAATTTTAGTATATTTGAAGTTGCAGAGATGTTTACTAGGTTTTAAATTCTCTGGATTATTTGTTGCGTTTGAATATTCAGAGGCTTTTGATTTAAGCTCATTTAGTCATTTAGCAAAATAACCTGTACACTGGGCAATTTGATGTTTGTGCTCAGTATTTGAAATCATTTTCAAACCAGCCCTATCCTAACAAAGATTACATGATGTGCCCACATTTTACTCGCACACCCCTAAAGTGGCTGTTCCTGCTAACACTAAATGTTATGTAGTAGTTTATTTTCTGACTTCAACACTCATTTGAAAAGGTAAAGTCACTAACGATTATAAAACAAATGTAAATTGAACATGTTGATTTGTAATGATTGTGTTCTAGTCTCAATTCTTGATTGAAAGTGAGGACTGCATGTTCTAATTTTAACTACATGTACCATATGTGCATGCTTGTCAGATCAGAATTTTTTTAATTTGATATCACATTTGCATTTTACTAGTCAATTCTTTAATATGCATCAAATAAATATCATATTTGTCATATTGGAAGCACTATAAACCAAAAATTTGCAACACACCTGTAACATACACAAATGCATGCCCTACTAATAAAGCAACTGCAGTGCCATATTTTCTAAAATAGAAGAGTTACTTTGATAGGGACACTTTACACAAAAGAAGATTTATTTGTCATATGCAAATACAGACTTCAGTAATTGTCAGTGACTGTTTTCCTGTGTTACAGATTATAAAAAAGACAGTGAATCATTGATGGACAAATTAACACAGCTATGTATACAACAATCAGGTGGTACATTAACACAAGACCAGTTACAACCACAACACCATTATGTCAGAACTATAAAAGAGGCATGGACTGAAGATACAAAGAAACCAACTGATTCTGGTGATGCTACACCAACACAAAGGTAAATCAGTTATCACATACTAGCTACTAAATATTTATTTGTAGAGTTGATTACATGAGTAGCAGTGCTCTTGCAAATGTAACAGCTACCAGTGTTCTCCACAACCCGAAAAAGCTGGTGGGCGGCCTAATTAGCATAAATTTGCATACTAATTTGCATATCATTTATGTACAACATTCTAGCATTTATGTCATGAACTGCAATACACACTAAGTTATTTACAATTTTTTAAAATTTAATTGAAACATGTTACAATCTTTTAAAATACAAACAGATTGGTCAATATCAATATTTACGAGATGCAAAGTTTGAAATCAGTGATTTATACGTTCTCAAAATATTCTGCATTCATGAAATGCAATTCGAGTAACGAAGAGCAAGTACAAAACATAATTGAGTTATAATGTAGAAAATATACGAGGTGATTTGTCCCCGAAGTCAAAACGAACGATTTGTCAAAATAAAACCCATATTTTTTTTTATTTATGGCATCAGTACTCACCCGTGCCGACGGACAGTACATTTTACGCATGTACGGTAACGACACGTTGCGTTTTCACACGTTGTTTTGGAATTCAAGAAAAAATGCTAGCAACCGGCAAAATAAAAGAATCTGCTATGTTCTCGAAAGATGATTCGGCATAAAAAATTGATAAATTGAAAAAAGTACGTGGAAAAGATAACTAAAATATGTATTCAATTACAAATACTTGCTGTAAACTTATCCGACAGCCATGTTTGATGTTTTTTACCGCTTTCCGAATTCAGTACACGAACACCCAGAATGCGCTGTTTCCCTATGCATCCTAGATACTAAATCGTTACAGCGCCAACAGCGGATGGATGGCCGACGGTCGCTGAATGGGGTAGGCCAAAAGGTCATCAGCTTGCCTTCTCCATGCTGTTTTCACGATGAAAATCGAGTGAACGTTGTAAATACGGCTAGAATTTTAATTTTTTTCGAGTTTACATGCAATCTGCTAATATATTTGTTTATTTTCTGTGCATATACATTTCGTTCGTATTTACTTCCTTCTTTCGTGATCGGAAGACGATTATTAAAAATACAGCTGTAAATTGAAACCACCGTAGTTGCGTATTGTGAGCATTAAGTGGCAACAATGTCGGGCGACAATGAATTCAAGCGATTGACACATTGCCATGAATACACTTGATAACTGCTTGCAGACTTCCAGTGGTCATTGTTTATGTCTGGACTCTTGAAACAATAGCAAAATAAAGGGTTGGGCAACTACTCTTTTGTTTAGCCTTGGGAAGAACAATGCAAGCTTTTTACAAATAATTTCAGCTGGATGTACATTGGTGGGCGGGTGTTGAGAGTAACTAGGCGGCCGTGAAACTTGATGGGCAGGCCGCCCGCCTAAAACCCCTTGTGGAGAACACTGAGCTACACTTAAACAGCATGGCTTCATTAATGACTTAAACCAGTCCAGTCTGACGAAAACATTAAATGAATACACACACTGCTTAATTAAATTGCTGTCAGTTGACTGGTATCATCTGCATGAACACAAAAAAAACGTCTCAAAAATACTATGTGCAAACAAACAAACACCACAAAGTAAATAAATACATGACAATTTCAATATTCTTTTGAGTAAAAATTTTAATTTAATGTAATAATAAAAATTGATTCAGTAAACAAAACACATTTGTTTTTGTCTTTTAATTATTACATTTTTCTTTTTTACTAGTGTTTTACAGACCACTCCAGATACAGTAATACCAGATGCACATACACAAAATGAGGAAAGAGAAACTGTATACTTAGATTTACGAAATTTTGGGAAAACAAATTCTGAGCAGGTAAGGTCTTACAGCTTATATATGGTGGAACTTGCATGTACAGTCAAAAGGTGCTGTGGAATTTGAAGTGGAAATGTTGCAGAACCTACATTGTACTTATATGAAAAATCTATCAAAAAGCTTTAACCTACAAATAAACACAAACTAGAAAAATGACAGACATGTTTGTACTTGTTATGCCAATGAAATAATTTAGAAAGAATTTTTTTGGTTCAGGTAATGAACTTCCACGGGTTGAATATTGCTTTTACTGTATATTTAATACTAACTCTGCGACATGATTGTACGACTCGCCGAATGTCGATTATCTGCGAAAGGGTCACAGTATTACTCAGTCTGCAAAGAGCATTCTAATTGGTTGGTTGGATGAAAAGTGTGAATCACAATGGTTGATCGATGCCCATATTACTTCTTTATTGCTGGGAAAGGATTGACCAGCTTTGTTATAGAAATTTGTTTAGCTTGGAATGTGTCTGAACCCCTCATTAGTATGCAAGAATGTAGGAATGTACCAAGAAAATTGTTTTTCTGGAGTAAATTGTAGTGTATTTTACTTATGAAAGGTCAAAAAGTGCATGGAGATTTTATGATAATTTGTGGATGTTAACAGAATGATGTCGTTTGGTCTCAGTTGCGCAATAAATGATTGACTATTTTGGGCATAGCTATAAAATGTGTCACCGAAGTACTCACACGTGTGCATGATTCCAATAGTTTGTGCTATGAAGAAACTCCGTTAGAAAATAAGTATTGTGTTATTTGTAGTGAGAATGTATTCAAATAGATTTATGTTTATGAATCTTGTTTCTTTTCGAATTGTATTTATATAATAAAAATTGTTTCGATGCATTGAATTTACCAATGATGAGTTATTTTGTTATACCGTCACTCAAATTATGTGTTACGAATTTCTGATAGTTTAGACTTGTGTTCTTGCGAACGGGAAGACATTTACTGGTGTACAGTGGACATCAATAAAAGCGAACGTGTTTCGAAAGTTGTGAAATCATGGTACTGTTTTGGCATTATACAACTTGCATTTCCCTTTTGATGGATTTTGTGTGACTGGCCGAGTTATCGAACTGTAGTATTATGGAAATCTGCAAGCAAAGTTATAACATGGAGTCGTCATCAAAGTATGCACAATTGTTCGTCTCGTGTTT